AGTCGAGCATGCTCGTGCGCGACAGCTGCGCCTCGTGCGCGGCAGCGAACCGCGCCGCCAGGCGAGCCAGCGACTGGCAGCCCTCGACCACGGGGATGTCGTCGAGGTTCGCCCTGGCCGCCGCCGCGCCCTGCTCGGCCCGCCTGTCAGCTCGAGCGTTGCCATCCAGCTCGAACTGCGAGACTAGGCCGTCCACGACAGCCTTGGGGCCCAAGTGGGCCTTGATCTTGACGACCGTCACGTCCTGCAGCTGCTCTGCTTGGCCAGCCCACAGGTGCGCTCGCTGGCCGCTGGCTGCGGCCGCTGCCGACGGGTTGGCCGCGCAGCGCACCGTGGCCATGCAGTCAATGTAGAGCCTGTAGCTACCCCCTGCAACCTGCGACGTGAGGACCTTCACGGCGTAGTCCTCGCCGTCTCTGGCCAGCTGCTCGGGTGCCTCCCCGATCGGATCCGCTCCCCACGCCTCCGCCACGAGCATGTAGGCCTCGTCGTAGACAACCACGGACCAGCCCGCGGTACGCAGGCGCGGGTAGGCCTGGTCGAGGCCCGAGCCATCCACAAAGACGTGGTGCCCGTTGGGGTGCGGTCCCAACGTGCACCAGCTCGTCGAGCTCTCGAAATGGTCCGCCGCTGGCCTATCAAGCCTATCCATCAGTTCCGATATGTCAGGGGAGAGTCCTGGCGAACAGGTCGGTGAAAGGATCGCCCAGGCCCTCAACTCGATCAGCGGCTCCGCGCAGCGGAGCCTCCAAGTAGTCACGCCTCCAGGCATCGTGCGCCTCGCAACGAAACCGCCGGTGTAATAGCGAGCCGTCCTTGAAACCGCAGAGCTGGCAATTGGACGGCGCCGCCCGCGAGCTGTTCGCCGCTGCCACCCTGGCCTGGCACCAGTATGTGTTCTGGATGAGGCTGCGCAGCGCCCGCTGGTGGTGCTGGTCCCAAACCTCCGACCGATGACTGGCCAGATCGAGGATCGGTTGCCAGAAGGGCGGGATGCTCCAGCCCCACATGCTGGGGCCCTGCCTGGCCACCTCCTCCAGCCCAATGGCGACACGGCGCTGCTGCGCCACCAGGCTGCCAAAGAAGGCGGGTGAATGCCTCCTGACTTCGTAGGCTGCTCCCATGCTGTCATGAACCAGGTAGGGGTCGCCCTGCAAGAAGCTCCAGCCGACGCGATCCAAGGTGAGGACCAAAGCGCTGATGGGGTCCTTGACCTGCCGCCAGGGATACCCTTGCTGGGCGAGCGCCATGCCCCTGGCCAGGCAGGAGCGGGCTGCCGCCTCAGGCAGCAACGAGGCCCAGATCACCTCGACGTAGGCCATGAGCGCGATCCTGGTGACAATGGTCAGCGGGTCCCTCTTCCAGCCATTCGCCTGGGCCAGGCTGGCAAGCCCCAAGGCAGCCCCACGGGGCAAGCGCCCTCTCGCCTTGATCGCCCCGACGCGCAGCTGGCGCAGCCTGCCGCTCGGGGCGCCCATGATGGCCGAGCCCCAGGTGGCCTTGGCCGTGGGGCCCGCACGGTAGACCCTCGCACGGTCCAGGCCAGGACGGAACAGGCTGGTGAGCTTCCTGCCCTAAGCTCGAGCCTGTTGTTCCCGTGTGGCCGCCGTCGTGACGCGGCGGTGCGACCCTGAGATCGCGTCTCCGCCGGGGTCCCTGTGCATGTCCACAAAGTCGTCGGGCCCGAGGTCCCAGCCAGGTTGCTGCATCAGCGCCTGGCGCAGCTCCTTGCTCGTAGCTGGAGCCTTGGTCTTGTGCCTGCTCAGTGGCAGGTTAGCCTCTCGCACCTTCTCGCAGAAGGCCCTGTAGGTGGCTCCCAGCTGCTGGGCCATGGAGCGGGGCCCTGTAACGTGGGCCGAGACGTCATCCACCACGTTGAGCAGCCTGGCCATGGGCGCCGCTGCCGCCGCGGCCCGCAGGGCCGAGAGCAAAAGCAGTTTCGCCAGCGCCGTGGCGCAGGAGCAGCCAGCCACCGCCGTGCCGTTGGGCGCCGCCGCCTCGCTGAGGCAGGAGCTGATGCGCGCCCGCCGCGGCGCCAGGTAGGTGGCGCAGAGGGCTCTGAGTAGCCCAAGGTCGAAACCCCAGGCCCGCGCCGCCACCTTTAGCTCGGCGTGGCCGATGTGCTCGTAGTACTTCTGCAGATCCATGTAGATGGACGCGGCCTCCTCTTGCACGTGCTTGGCGTGGGGAACAAAAATATTGTGGAGCCAGGCCGCCTTGTCACATCCTCGCGAAGCCGAGGTCCCCCAAAAGGGGGTTTGCTCCAGCGACCTCTCCCATTTGGCCGTGTAGCCCTGGCGCGCGCTTGGCCAGATCCTGGCCATCAGCGGCATGAGCCCGATGGGCCGCTGCCCGCCATCGGGCTTCGGCAGGAAGACCATGATCACGGTCCACAGCTCGCCGCAGTTGGGAGCGCGCTCCCAGGCGTTGAGCAAACTGGCGAGCCCGGCAAGAATGTCTTCTCCCACCTCCAGCAGCAACCGCGGGTGGAAGTTGCCCCCGCCGAGGCCCGCGTGCCTGGAGGACTTGCGCGCCGCGATCTTGATGTCGTCCACCGTGACCGGCGGCATCGCCCACTCGCCGACGTCCCAATGGCCTGGGTGCTCCTGGCCGCTGCGACTGGGGTCAGACCAGAGGGGGAGCCACTCGGCTAGCACCCGCTCAAGCGCAGGCTGGCCCACCAGCGCATGGTCAACCGAGCCTGCCTCAAGGGCGGGGCTGGGCTCTCCGTGGGTCTTCTTGATAACCTTGTGGGCCAACGAACCTTGACGTTCGAAAGCCTGCTCCGAGAAGTCGTCCCATTTGGGTTTGCTGGCCTTTGCATCCTCCTTGGTGTGCTTGGCCACGACCTGTTCCATCACGAGTGAGAATTTGTCGCCCAACTCCGTCTGGAGCTCAATCTCGTCCCAGAAACTCAAGAACACCGTGCCATCGAACATCGTGATGGACTGCTCCTGGAACTTGACCTTCAAGCGGCTGGCTGACTCGAAGAGCTGCTGTGCACGCCTGGCCCTGTAGCAGCTGGGCAGGTCGTTGGGCCCAATGGATCCCAAGTCCGACCTTCTCTTGGACAGGTGGCGCAGCGAAAGCCAGAGTTGGGTGACCTCTGATGCTCGTTCGAAGCGGTTCTCCTGGACCTTGGCTTCAACAGGAACTGTGACTGTCCTGAGGTCTTGGACCTGCCCTTGTAGTGCTTAGCCTCGCTACTGGGCATGCCATGCAGCGCGTGCAGTGCCTCCTCAGCTTGATCAAACCAGCCCTTGACTACTCCTTCAAGGCCTGAGCAAGGCGGGGGCCAGGGGAGTGTGGCAACTAGCAGGTCGCGCCTGGTCCTGGCCTCCTCGTCGGCCTCGAACTCCAGCCCAAAGCCCTTCGGCGCGCGCTGCGTCTGGGTCATGGGCCGCTTCCAGCAGCCGCGCAACGCCAGCGTCGCGACCTGGTGCGGGCCGCTGGGGGTGTCCACGTGGCACTTGATGGAGTCCACAAGGTCCTCCAGCGCGCGCGAGATAACGAAGTAGTCGTACTCATTATCGTTGCATGTGGCCAGCCCTGAGGCCAGAACAACTCCTCCCATGAGCTCAGGCCAGCCTGGGGTTGACAACTCCCTGGCCTCAATGTTCAGGTCACCGCCAATGATGAAAGGCTCGCCCAGGTGCGCGCACCACGAGTGAACGTCTTCCAGTAGATGCCTGTTGGGCCCCTGGAGCCCGATCGAGTCCTCGAGGTACACTGAGGTCGTGGCAATCGTAGTGCCCTCGCCAACAGAGACTCGACGAGCGATGAAACGATGTGGGGCTCCATCCCAGGGTTGGAGGTATCTCGCGGTGCCCAGCAGCGTCGAGGATACAATGGCCACTCCCGACGATACTGCCGTGGCGGCATCTCCAGTCCTGAGGACCCCTGAGGCTGCAAGACGGTGGCCTCCTCGGCTGGCCCAGACATGGGCCTGCTCAGCCGCCATGTTAGATGTGAAACGCGTCTCCTGGACGAACATCGCGTGCGGTGCCATCCCCTTCTTACTCATCCACTCGTGGACACTGGAGGCCGTGTTCCACGTGTTGCCGTTGTAGGTGCACACAGTGAGCTTGCCCTCCAGCTGCCCAGGCGCAGGTACCAGAGCACCCTGGTCGGGAATCAGTCGATTCAGCTGCAGTATCCCAGCCTGGGCTTCGAGACGCGCCTTCGTATTAAGCCCTTGGGCGCCAAGATGGCAGGCGGGGTCTGCGGTTCCCAGGCTTGTAGGCGCAGTCGCCAAGCCCGAAGACGCCATCGTAGATGTAGTCGCGGAAGCCAATCCTGAAGTCGCCTGCCTTGGACTCCATGTGCCTCCATGTCGCTCATGTGGCGGGGCCTCTCCCTCCTGGTCAGAGCCGTGGGCCGCGCTTCCTCCCACTGCCACGGGAATCGACCACCCCCACGTCGGGGGCCGTGGCAGCGGGGCACCTGGAGGGGGAAACAGCCGTCCGCGCGTCCGCGGCTCCCTCACTCCAGTTTGAAGCGTGCCAGGCCAACCGTTGCTGGGAGAGGCCATGCCAAGCCCAGAACTCGCCGTCTCCGCTGACGGCGTGCCCGAAGAAGGGGGGGCCATCCAACCTGTCGTCGCGGAGGCCACCCCTGAAGTCGCCTGCCGTGAACTCCAGTTACCTCTCTGTCGCTCATGTGGCGGGGCCTCCCCCGTCTGGCCATGGCCGTGGTCAGCGCTTCCTCCCGCTGCCACGAGCCTCGACTACCCCCCCGTCGGGGGCCGTGGCAGCGGGGCACCTGGAGGGGGAGGCAGCCCTCCGCGCGTCCGCGGCTCCGTTACTCCAGTTTGAAGCGGACCAGGCCGACCGTCGCAGGGAGACGCCATGCCCATCGCCGAGCTCGCCGTCCCCGAGGTCGCCGGTCCCGTGGACGTCCTCCAGCCTGTCGTCGCGGAGGCCAACCCTAACGTCGCCTTCCACGAGCAGGAGGAGGAGGAAGAGGAGGAGGAGGAGGAGGAGGAGGAGGAGGAGGAGGAG